ACAATGGCCAATGGATCTTGGAACGGGAGACTTGCTAACTTGGTTACGGATTGCGATCTCGATCTATCGGGTCGGAGGTCCGGGCGTCCGCCGAAAGGGATCGGGGGAGTCGGACACCTAGGTAGGTCCACTTCGGGACGGGGCCGGCGGATGGCTCGGTGCGGTAAGGCATAGCAACACTTTGAATATGGCAACATTGCAGAGCTTTTCACTATCCATGGTATTTTAATATCAGCAACCCAATTATTCAGAGGCACATCTTCGCCTACAAGCTGAGGTCGCCCGATATGAACCACTAAATCATGTTTATACATTCCCACCTATTTTTCGTTTGACATCTAGAAGCCTTATTCTTTACTGTCCCTTGAACACAGGCTTCCTCTTCTCCTGAAACGCCTTCAGCGCCTCATTCCGATCCTCCGTCGCCACAACCCTCTCGTACATCTTATTCTCCACCTCCTCCCTCGCCCAGTTGACAGCCTGCAAGCCCGCGCGAATCGCAATCGGCCCGCCCTCGCAGATCTCGCCGGCCAGCCTCACGGCCTCGCTCAGCACCGCACGGCGCGCGACCATCAGCGCGCCCTTGTCCTTGTCGCCCTCGCCCGCCTTCTCGGCCTCGTCGTGCGTGATCTCGACCAGCCGGTCCGCGATGCCGAGGAAGTACGCCTCGGGCGCGGACACGCGGCGGCCGGTGAGGATGAGGTCGCGCGCGCGAGAGAGGCCGATGAGCGCGGGCAGGCGGTGGGTGCCGCCGGCGCCGGGGATGATGCCGAGGCGCGTCTCGGGCAGGCCGACGAGCGCGTTGGAGGAGAGCACGCGGAAGTGTGTAGACAGGGCGAGCTCGAGGCCGCCGCCGAGGGCGAGGGAGGAGATGGCGGAGATTGTGGGGATCGGAAGGTTTTGGAGGGAGGTGAAGGTGCTGCGGAGGTTGGCGAGAAACTCGTCGGTCCTGTTGAGGGTTTGTGTCAGTGGTGCTTAATAGGTTTGGAGGGAAACATACTCTGCCTGGGAGAAGCCGCGGCGCTCCTTCAAGTCGGCGCCGGCGCAGAAGCTCGTCTCAACGGCACTGGCGAGGATCAAGGCGCGCGTCGGGCCCTTGACGTCCTTCCCCGCGGCGCCACCAAAGATCTGCTTCGCGGGTGCCTCGTCGCCTGTCTCGGTGTACTGGGCGTGGACGTCTTCAACCTCAGCGCGCAGCTGGGACAGCAGGGCCTTGGAGATGGCATTGCGGGCCTTGGGGCGGTTGAGCTCGAGGATGCGGATGTGGCCGGAGCCGGGAGCGGGAAGCTGGGTGACGGTTATCAGCGGCTGGTCGGAGTCGGCGGCGTTTGCGGTTGAGTAGAGGGCAGCGGCCGGTCTCGAGGAGGAGGAGCACCGCGGGATGCGGACGGCGAGACGGAGCGGGGCAAGGCGGGGAGGCATTGTTGCTGTCTCTAGGGTATCAAGCCGTGGGAGTAGGTAAGAGAAGATGTGAGAAAAAGGAATGCTTCCTTTGGTTCCAATTGAGTTCGATTGAGCCGTTGGAGAGGCGGCTGTGTTGGTTGCTGCGGGAGCTCAATTTGGGCGGACCGAGGAAAGAGCTCGATTGGTGAAAATGCGATGACGTTCTGGCGGGTCGGCTTTGCTCGGTCATTTATGGAGACCTCAGACGAACACTGCCCTGTGAGTGGTTCTTGCCCGGGGAGCTCGGTGAAGAGCAGCCGAACACTTCACCGAGCTGCCACCAGACGCCGCCCAAGCTTCCGTCACCTTTCACCTTCAACACCGGACTCCCGACTGATGCATCGGTGCTTGTACGGCTCATCAGTCCGTTTTACAAAATTCCTGCAAAACCATCTCGATGGAATAAAACACTTTAAACTACCACAACCAGACCGCCAAAGCAGTCAAGACGAAGCATCTCATCTCGATGGGACAAGGGGGCGCCTTGGCACGTGCGCAGTGACGTCCTTGCCCTCGTGCAGCTCCTCATTCCTGGTGCCAAGCACAGAAACCTGCAAGCGCCAAGCCATCTTCTGTCCCTGCGCAAGCTCAGCTTTCTGCTTCGGTTTGACGGCATGTCGCGTGCCTTATCTCTCGCCCTTAAAAAGTCTCACCATGCCTCCCGTCTAGGATGGGATAGAGCCTGTTCGTCTAATCTTTTGACACTACACCATGTCGGATAACACGGCAGAAAGCGTCCTCGTCCCCTTCCTGGGAGCCTTCCAAGCCTCCTTATCGGTGCTGCTGACCATCGCCGTCGGCGTGATTGCCGCGCAGTATGGTCTTCTCGATGGACAGAGCAGCAAGAAGATATCGACCTTCTGCGTCCGCATGGCGCTGCCGGCGCTCTTGATCACGAATGTCGGGTCGCAACTCGACCTCGAGACTGTGGGTGTTCCGTCGTGAAGACTTTGGCCGGCATCTCCTAACCGATCACAAGGGGCTACGCTATGTACCCATCATATTATGGGCCATCTTTTACACGACGGCGTCAATCGGCATTGGCATGTTCCTGAACAAGGTCCTGGGCATGCCCGACTGGGTGACGCCAGCCATTGCGTTCAACAACACCACCAGTCTGCCACTGTTGCTGGTGCAATCACTCGATGCCACCGGCATCCTCAGCTCCATCGATGACAGCTCCGATGTGGTCGCCAAAGCCAAGAGCTACTTCCTCGTCAACGCCATGATCGGGAACTCCCTCACCTTCGCCCTCGGGCCCAAGCTCCTCAATGGCCAAGAGGAAGAAGCCCCAGACAAGGACAGAGACGACGAATCGAGCGAAGACGAAGACGGCGACGATGTCGAATCCCAGGACCTCGAGCGCGACGAACGAACCTCCCTCCTCCCGCACCGCGTCGTCGCCAAACGCACCCGCGCACAGCACCGCCTCGCCCGCAACACCAACCGCCTCTGGTCCGCTCTCCCTACGCACGTCCAGCGCAGCCTCAGCTTCCTCTCCAGCTTCATCAACGCCCCCGTCATCGGCGCCCTCCTCGGCGCGCTCGTCGGCCTCGTCCCCGCGCTGCACCGCCTCTTCTTCTCCGAGCCCGAGGCCGGCGGCTACCTCAACGCGTGGCTGACATCAGCACTGAAAAACGTCGGCGACCTCTTCGCGACGCTGCAGGTCATCGTCGTGGGCGTGAAGCTTTCCAAGGCGCTGCTGCAGTTCAAGAACGGGTCTGAGTCCAAGGAGAGCCACGTGCCCATGGTGCCGTTCCTGGCGGTCACGGTGGTGCGGTTCGTGGTGTGGCCCATCATCTCGATTGGGGTGATTTACGCGCTCGCAAGCAAGACGGACCTGCTGACGAAGGATGCGCTGCTGTGGTTCTGCTTGATGCTCATGCCGACGGGCCCGTCGGCGATGAAGTTGTCGGCCCTGGCGGACTGCCAGGGGTCGGATGAGGCGCAGAAGATGTTGATTGCCAAGTTTTTGACGGTAAGTTTGGCATAAGATTTGCGTGATGTATTTCAATGCTAACAGTCTCGTAGATGTCGTACATTGTCTCTCCGTTAATCTGTTTTGCCGTTGTTGGAGCTTTGGAGGCAAGCGAAGCTGTCGCGGCGGGATGAGGATGGACTATACTGACCATCTCGAATAATCTCATTCTCATTGTCGGGTGTGAGGTGATTTTGGAAGGAATAGGCTCCGAGGTAGTCGTGGAAATGAAGATTCGGGGCAATGTCAGGCCAAAATAAAATTTACCATGAGCAATATGATGAGATTAATAGTAAAGGTTGAGTACTTTGTTAGCGGGTATAAGCTCTCCCTCAGACGAGTCAGCGCTGCAAGTATACTGCAGACTCTCACTCACTAATCTCATCGGCTCTAATGATTCAGAGTGAATTTGAGGTTAGAAAAGCTCACAGCCTTTTGCCGGTGAACATTTCAAGGCTCATCTAATCATGTGAGACGAGGTGTTCACTCTCGGCCCAAATAAGAAGCCCATGATTGGTCGCAATCAGCCCCAGCAGCCCCCAATTTCTGCACTCCCTCCAGCAGCTGCTCCCCGCTGAAGCTGTGGGCCCCGGGATGACCTTCCTTCACGTCATCCGCTCTCACACTCATCAACCCCGAGCTTCGAGCTTCCACCCCGCCATCCCGAACGCCGGCCGACTTATCCAGCTCCATATTCACGTGCCCAATATTATACTCTCACCCAACAAGATATTCTAACAGGCGTCTTAAGTCGTACACACTTCAATTGGACGGCGGAATCGTTACAGATCTCGGTAAGAACACCACCCAGCGGATTCGAACCACGGTGGGTCTCCAGACCACAACCTCGGCTCACAATCACCATCTCCATCCAACTCACTCACGCATCTACCACAAACGTCCGCAAGACTGATCACGATAAACAGTAACGCACAATGGATCCCGCCTCCCAGACCCTCCCCCCGGAAGCCATCGCCCTCGCGGGCCGCCTGTACGACGGCGCGCGCGCCGGCGACATGGCGCTCTTCCAGCAGGCTTTACCCGCGGGGCTGCCTGCGAACATGACCAACGAGAAGGGCGACACCCTGGTACGGATCCCTCTCTTACAATTCCGACCATCCGGCCTGAGATTCCATGAGTGCGGATGATAGCTGACGAGAAACAGCTCATGCTCGCCGCATACCACGGCCACGCCGCCCTCGTGAAGCTCCTCATCCAGCACGGCGCGGACCCCAACCGGCTCAACGACCGGGGCCAGAGCCCGCTTGCCGGCGCGGTGTTCAAGAAGGAGGACGAGGTGATTGAGGTGAGCTTTTTGTCAACTACTAATTGTTGCTGGCATCAGCTTTACTGGTATGATGCGAGAGCTGACGCGAAGACCAACAAGGCTCTGCTTGAGGGAGGCGCGGACCCGGACTATGGCAATCCCAGCGCGCTGGCCTGCGTTGCGATGTTCAAGCAGGAGGAGAGGTGGCAGGCTAAATTTGAGGGCGCGCCTGGGAGGGGGAAGGCGGAGGTTAAGGCTTGAGTTACGCGTAATGTAAAAGCGACATTCACATCAAGGGATACCGTTATTATTTCACTGCAGACCCGGCTTCTGCGCATACACAACATGACTGTCACCACCGTCAGCCTCTCAATTCCCATGCCTGACCACAGAAACGCAAAAGAGAAACTCACTGATCAAACATAACATGCATCCCCCCCTCCCCCAACTCCGCCCTCACCCGCTCCAACAACTCTCTCACATCCCCCTCCTCCCAGCCCAACACCCCGCAAAACACCTTCAAACTAAACCCCTCCAGCCCCTCGAGCAGCTGACGCAAATTCAGCGCGCCAACATCCTTGAAGTGCGGATCTCGCGCCCACGGCCCGATCGGCGCCTTGAACCGCTTATGCGTCACCCCGCGGAACCCGCCGTGCGCGCGTACCCAGCCCTCGAGCGCCGGGCCGGGCCGCGCGGTGCGGCCCATGGCCTCGCAGGCGTCGACGAAGCGCGCGTTCCAACGGGAGAGGGATGATGAGGGCGGGTAGGTTGCGTCGTCGGCGTAGTAGAGGCCGTCCATGTCTTGGAATTCGGCGTAGCCGCCGGGGGTGAGGTGGCTATTTGTTCTGTTGTTAGGATGTTTGAGGTTTTGATCCAGGATGGAGTAGGGAGGGGGTAGGATGAGGGGAGATTTAACTCATAGATGTTGGAGATCAGGCGCGGCCAGTCTGCGATGGAGACGAGCATGTAGCGGACGAAAATGTAGTCGTATTTTTTAGGGTCGATCCAGGCGCTTTCGACGTCGTCGACGATGAATTTGACGTTGGAGGGGAGCCTGTCTTTTGTGGTCAGAAATTGGGTGGGATGGGTGCGGAAGGGGTGTCACCATTCCGGCTGGACTGCACTCAAGTCCGTTCCGATGACCTAGGCTACTCAGCGGCTGTATTACGAGGTTCTTCGGGCAGTCTTACTTCAGCGTGTGGAAATAAATCAGCCATTTGAATTGCCCCTGGGAAGCATCATTAGACCACACCCGCTACCGGGGGAAGAAGAGGAGTACAGATCCCTGTTCCGGTCCCGATGTCCAGTATCCTCTGCGTCGTTTCTGGTCTGATGGGAGCGAGATACAGTCGGTAGCCGATGGATTTGAACATGAGGATATGGGCCAGATCAAGACGGTTCAGTTCGGGCTACGGGAGTTAGAGGTGTCCTTTGGGCACTGTCAGGAAACAGACCTCGTCGTTTGGAAATGCATAGGCTTTTTCGCTTGTTAGACACAGTCATCCGAAACAAGAGGTTAGCGGAAAAGACCTACTGCCTTGCCGATAGGCATGATACCGTCGTCCATATTCTACCGGGTAATCAAAGACACTTGACGTTATTGATCGGGTGTAGGATGACCTGTCTCCATCAGCATCACTGTAGCTATCCCTGTGCCTCGGGCATCAAATAATATCAGATAGTGCTTCTGGGAAACCAACATTCGATCATCTGGAATAGAGTCCAAGTCCTGCATACGCACATTAGCAACAAAGAATGACTCGGCGTTCGGGGTGAGTTGAATGAGAAGCTTAGACGAATGACGAACACCAAATCCCTCGTCCTCAGGCTCAATCTCCGCATCCTGGTCAACTGCCGGAGGTGGATCTACAGCTGCGACCGCAGTGCCGACGGCGTTACCAGACTGTCGGGTCGAATCGTCCATCCTGGCAGAAACTTTGCGCAGCTTTGGGGGCGGAAAAGCTGGATAGATGTCTCTTTTTCCTAATCACACAATCGGCCGTTCCAACGGCACTTCCCTGCGGTACATCCAGCCAAATGGGATAAAAAGCAAAGAAAAGAGAGCGGAAACCGGATTGAACCAACAACCGGTACCCGGCGGGACAGACCACCTTTTTGACCACTACCAAATTTCTGACGGTGGATTTCTTGGTCGTGTTGGAACCCGACCCGACCGACCCGCTTGTTTGCTGCTTGTCAGAGACAACCTGTTGGTGTGTTGGTCGCAGCTGACAACCCCCCAGGGTGCCGAGTTTAAGCCAATGCAAAGGTTTCGCTTGGCGGCCAGGGTGAGCTGCAAGTTGACAAAAGTATCCATGGTGTCGGGTCAGATAGGTGATGTTCATTACTGGACAAGTACCGTTCGTGAGTTCTGCATTAGAGATCTCTGGAGCAGCAAATTTCGATCAGAATGAATAAGAAAAGTCATTGTGGAAGTGTTGATTTCATTGGGAATGGTAAATGATTAGAACATACCATGGCCGACATTTGTCATTCGAGTTGAGGTCATGTGTGTGCTACGAGCTTCACGATATCGCAGCTTGAAGAACATGTTTGGAACGCAACCAGAACGACATGTATGGATTGGGAAAATAAGCTTTGTCGTTTTCCTAGCAGGAGACAGAAATTTCTTTTGCAAGCGTTGCAAAGGCTTCCTCCATGGACCGAAGTTTTCTTCGACCACAAAGATTCTGCATATGTTTGACACTCAATTCCGTCTCTGGGAAGCAGGTGAGTACTCCTTCAGTGTCTACTCCAGCGGATCAAAACCTCGCCAGCTTGATAATTCTAAACTACACAACTCACAAATTGCAGTCTCCAAAATGCCTGGGAATGGGAAAAGGCCTAAAGCAGCGGCGTTCATTCAACCCATGGACATCGACCCCGAACTCAGAGAGGACACACCTGCTTCCGAGGCTAGGAGATCGTCGACATTTCGTCCCTCTTCCTCGCCGGACCAGGTTCCCCTCCCTGCTTCCCCGGCCGCCAACAACATCCGCCCTGCCCGGGTCTTCGTCAATATTCAGCCTGCCCCGCCAGCCAATGACATCAGCGTCTATCACGTCCTGGGAGACGACAGGGATCTACTCCCGTCGATGTACGCCAATGTCTATCAAATGGACATGCCGCCCAGACTGCAGGCTGTTGAGGCTCCGTGGTACCCCTTCCACCCGCGGCTCACTGCTGAACCCAGCAACTACCGCACGGAAGGCACTGTAGCAGAGAGGAACAGAATCCTTCCGGAGCTTGACAACGTCTGGCATGGGATGCAGGAGTATGGGTATGCGTGGTCAATAGTAGAAGATCCAGTTCAGAGGCAAAACCTTCTCGATCGCGCAGGGACGCTACCTCCTCCTCTTCCGGATGTGAAGGACTTCAGGGACGACAACAGCCAACGCCAGCGACCGCCTGCTCCCGTTCTTCAAGACCCGAGCTATTATCAAGTACCCGCTCCCGTTGTGTATCCCGAATTGAGCCCGAGGTACGAAGTATCCCGCCATGGAGGTATCAATGGTCAAGTGTATCAAAACCGCGCCGATTATCAACCACCCTACGGCACTGTGTGCCCCAACCACGACCGTGGTCACCAAGCCCTAACTATGGCGAGGGTAGCAGTGGTCAGAATCCTGTGGCATATAACAGGGCGTCAATCGAGACCAGGGGTCTTACTCGGCAGCCGATGTGCCTTTGCAACACGTGCAGCCACGACGGTCAAGCGCCGACCTGCAACGATGGCACCAATGAGATGAGGAGTTGGTTGCTGAAGGAACGTCTATGAAGCTTCTTCTGCAACCATGCACTCCTTCGCCACCTCATGTGTATCAATAAAGTGGCAAGGCGAACGCGATTCACGTGGCCGGTGATTGGTGAGGTTATTTGAATGGCTGTTCTCGGGTGTATGAGGTGTAAAGAATCTGGAAACTTCGGAAACGCCCGTCTTTACGTTGATGGAGTTATTAAATACGAATCAATCGACACTGCTGATGGTCATGGAATGACGAGGCTGAAATCCATGCCGAGTTGTATTATTAGTACAAATGGTTATAGTGATAGTGAAACAGTGAGGTCCTCATGTGAGAGACAGAGTATAAGTCTCATGCTCACTCAAAGTATCTTCCTAGTAAACTCATTGATAATCGCTGTGTCCCTTAGGCCTCACCCCATCCACCTCTCCCTTTGAGTCCTTGGAGCTGTCTGCGCCCTTGGAGCCTTCAGATCCCTTGGATCCCCCACCCTCACCAAACTTGACCACCTCAATCGTCGTCGTCACATTCCCCTTCGTGGCCCTGCTGTACGGACACACCTCCTTCGCCTTGTCCACAACCTTCTGCACCTCCTCATCACTCAGCCCCTTGACGCGCACCTTCATCTCCACGCGGATGCCCATGTCGAGCTTCTTCATGTCGCCCACGAGGTGCACCGTCGTGTCGACGATGGAGTCCTCGGGCTTCTTGGGCATCGTGATCTTCATGCTCGCCGCGGACGCGTTCATCGCGCTCTGGAAGCACGCGCCGTAGCCCGCCGCGAAGAGCTCCTCCGGGTTCGTCTTGCCCTTGTCGCCCGCGCCGCCGAGCGCCTTCGCCATCGTCAGGTCCACGACGAGGTCGTCGCCCTCCACGTGGCCCGTCCGCGCACCGACGACTTTGGCGCGCGCACTGTAGAGGACGGGCGCCGTGTCGGTGTTGAGGAGGCGGCGTGTCTGTTGGGCGATGGTGATGGTGGGTGTAAGTGGCCGCGGGGCAGCGCGGGTGAGCGCTTGGGGCACGCGCTGGGCCAGTCTGAGAGAGCGGAGGGAGGATGCCATTGTGATGATTTTGTAAAGATTGAGACTTTAGAGAGCGTCAATATGGGTATGAAATTTTGATGTGAACTTGAGATTGGGCTCAAGCATTCAAGTTTTTGTTTTATTGTAGCTTGGGCGCCGGAATGCAATTGTGGATCCAAGAATGTGCTGGTCACGGTGACGTAGTGGACGTCAAATATTTCAGCCCTCAGACCTGAGACCTATCTCGGCGGCTGATGAGTCACCTAGCCGATTTAATAAAAGAGAACTATTCCCAATATAGGGGAGTTTGAATATTTTATGCGTTGGTATTGGAATACTTATTCTACATTTGAGGCTGCATGACATCTGCGGATGGGCTGAGTTGACAGCGGAACAGGGCAGCGGAAGACGCCAACCCCATGGTACTTTCAAACCTCAAAAGATTCAGATTCCAATTGGATCGATAGCTTGATTGGTATGTGATCTAGCGAGCTCTTGATAGGACATGAGGCTTTAGAGTTGCTGCATATTAATAGGAGTTTAGGCAATAGTCAGAAGGCACAGGCGCGATGCGTGAAGAACATCGCACAGGTTAGCCGGGATTTTGCCTGCAAAGGCCGGCCATCCGACGCTTCCGGGTGGAGGGGCCGAACGAGGAGTGTTGAAAAAGCCTAGCCCACGAACCCCCCTTGCTAGTCTACCTCAAGGACCCTCTGATCTTCTCTCACAGGGCAATTGAGATTGTGATGATGGCGCGATGATCCATTGAGAGAATGATCACCGTAGAAGACGTTGCGGATCTTGAACATTTGCCACAGCTGGGGAGCAGGAACACCGACATACTGTGAGTTCAGATAACAGAGTTCACTGCAAATGAAGCGAAATCAGATGAACATTCGTAGGGCTGAGTCCCCAGTCCGCGATAGAACACGAAACGGCTGCCTGATGGAGCTGCGGCACGGCCCCGATCGGGACCATTGATTCCATAGGGCACCTCTAATAATAAGCATAAGCGTACCTCCGCCAATCCTGTTTCCGAGTCGCATCGCAGGATGTGGGCCCTAAATAGCTGTGCCGAACGGTTCGCTGCGTCTTCATTCTTGCCATTCTCGGGGTCCGTGATCCTACACTCGGCCGAGTTGGTGTGCTTGTTATACCAAAAAGAAGCAGCAAAAGAACCGGGCAGCAGGCCGATACAACACCATTCGCAGACTCCATGCTGTTGAAGATTTTCTGTGGTACCACGACGCCGTTCCCCGTTGCACCCAGAGAGGATCAGGCCGAGAGCCAAGAGACAGCAAGGGGATTAGGAATAGGCAACATTTTAACCGCAGGCTGGCATTGGCCTGATCGGATTCAACCCTTGCAAACCCCACTTCATCTCAAATGAGTGGATCGGATAAGATCTCGCCCCGTCACCCTTTTCAACTCGGGAGAGGCGCTCAGACTCATGGATCTTCCTACCACACCTCAGCCAACCAAGTCTGCAACAAAGGAGTACTTCTTATTACTGAATTGAAACGCCAAACAGACATAATCACTGGCTAGTCGACGGTGGTTTACGAGGCTTCACATCGGGTCTGGTTCATCTTTGAAAAAGACTCTAACCCCGCATCTTGCCCACATGGCTCGCAAAGGCAGCCGCAAAGTCCGAACGGGATGCATAACCTGCAAGTAAGTCAGAGTTGTCTACTCTTAGTCAGTTGGGAGTTTCTTGATGTGCATGAGACCAACGCTCGCTAGGATCCGCAAAGTCAAGTGTGACGAGACAAAGCCAGCATGCACCCGCTGTCTGTCTACCGGGCGCAAATGCGATGGCTATCAACAACCGCCACCAACAGCCAAGGCAGTCTTGGAGGTTCCAACGAGCCAACCACACCGTGTATTCTATGGTGTCACTAGCCAGACCGAGGGCCGAGCGCTGCAGTATTTCTGCGAGACTGTTGGCCCCTTTCTTTCCGGCACCGTGGACCCCTACTTTTGGACGCACATTGTCATGCAGTTCAGCACGTTCGAGCCGTCCGTCAGGCATTCTCTCGTCGCCATCAGCAATTTATACGAACAAATCGAAGGCTCCCCGCAGCCGCAGCGCCGCCTACACTTGCAAGACCAGAGCTTTGCCCTGCAACACTACAACGCTGCCATCAACGAGCTCAAGGCCATCCAGACACGCGACAAGCAGCCTATCGTGCTAATTGTGTGCGTGTTGTTTATTTGCATCGAGTTCCTGCAGTCAAACCGCGAAGCCGCCGTGAGACACTGCAAACATGGTGTTGCGATTCTACGAAGCGTGTGCCGAGACTTTTCGTGGATGGAAGAGCATCTTCTCCCCTTATTTCGAAGACTCGTCGAGTTGTCATTTTTCTTTGGGGAGAAGTCAGATTGCTCGGACCTCGAGGGGCTGGAGCGCCCGATCCCGGAGTATTTCCCGACATACCATGACGCCCAGCTGATGATCGATGACATCTACAATCGCAATTTCCAATTTGTGAAGCGTCTAGATCCTTATCGATCTGGGCTTGCTAGGGACAGCCCTGTGCCTGGACATATCCTCGACTCACAAAGCCATATTAACCATCTGCTGGATGTATGGCATGGCCTTTTTTCTAGTCTGAACAGCCGAGTACTGTATGACCCAGTCGCAAAAGACGTTGAGGACGACCGGCAAAAGCTACTACGAGGGTTTCTCATCACGCGATACGAATGCTGCAGGATATGGTTGAACCTCGCTCTTTGCGGCGATGAATGCGGTTTTGACCAATACCTGGACAACTTCAAAAGGGTTGCAAAGGCTTTGAAGGACACGGCCGATGAGATCTTGCCTGACACGCGGCTACGACACCTGTCCAGCTTGTCACCAAAGTTTTCATTCGAGACTGGGTTCTTGCCCATGCTGTTTTCGATCGTCTGTACATGTCGCCATTTCGATACGAGGTTGCAGATTCTGCAGTTGATGCCCTTGCTGAGCCTTCCGCGTGAAAGTTTGTGGGAAATGGACAGCTTGGTCGCGGTCGCCCGGAGGATGGTTGAGATTGAACATTCGATCGTACTGGATGCTTACCTGAGACCGACGACTCTCCCGCCAACACCTTGGCCTCCTAGAAATACCAGAGTCATCGACGTGTCTATGGATGCGGAAAATGAGCAAAGATGGGTCCGAGGAGAGAGGGTGACAGGGAAGGTGGTTGGGTTTCACCAACGGAACCCAGACAGCGGCGTGGACCTCTTCACCGAATTTGTCGTCATACGAAGTTCCCCGCCCGAGGAAGAGGTTCCGGTGAAGAGGAGAGCTCTAATCAAGTGAGTATTCAATTACCGGGGCATTCGAATAAATGGCTAACGATCCAAGGAATGATAATTCGAACCCGAAGGCTCCACAGGAGCCTAGATGGATTGAGCCTGCGCTGATCGACCCACGATTGATAGAAGCAGATCAGTTTCTTGTCGAGCTTGAGTCTCAGCGAACAGAGATGCCAAAATCACGGATGAAGTCTGTGGCCGGTGCTTACTCGTGGGATGTAAATTTCTCAAAGTCGACACGAGGTGAGATCTGCCTCGTGTAGGATGTCTGTAACTTTGTTGTCCCTGTTTTGCTTTGGGATTAGCGTGGAGTTTCCCGGATAAATTCTATCAAAAATTTGGATCATCTCAAGTTGAACTCGCCAGGGGTTTCGTTCTTGTCACAATATTGAACAAACCTATTGTACTGAAGGTTTTGTCACTAGAGGAATAGGCATCCGATGTCTCGGTCTCAAGATACGCTATCTTTTAGTTGTGAGATGTGACCTAGATGTAGCTCTGGTAGCACGGGGGGGCACTCAAAGCAAGCCACACCCACTGTCGTTGGCGCCTTATCCGTTTCCACGCCTCCATATTGTCTGCTGGCTGTGTTCAAGCGTGTGCGACCCGTGTCCATGGGACTGTTGGAGCCCCCTTGGCGAGGGTATCAAAAGACCTACGGAAAGATATCTAGCAGGCGGCCGTGTAAGGCTTTATGACTTTTGGAAGAAGCCCAAGGATGCCAAGGAGTAACAAGAGATGAACGCCAACGCAGATGCGACCCTTGGCGACGGGGTATGCTCCTTGGAAAAGCACAGCACTATGCCCACCAAGCAAAAGTCGAACCATGAAGATGCAGTGTGCTGGCATGCTGTCTGATAAATGATTGGATGCCTCTTTTGAGTGCCATTAAGCGTAGATCCGCGGTCTCTAAGTCCGAACACGTCGAATGGCATGCCACGGGCCCCATCTCTTTTCAGATAGTTGGCTGTCTGCGAAGCAGCAGCACTCGGGGCTAGTCACGGGGAACGGAGCCGACATCTAGCGGCCAAAAGCCCGTGTGTTCGAACCCTGCACTGTCACTCCGCATTGCAACCCTGTCAAAGAGGAGACCGGAGAAAGGGGGGAGTCACCTGCACCCCAACCAACCCCACTAAACAAACGTGTTGGTAGGTTTGATGTTGCAATTGGGTCCGAGTAGAACGCCCCAGACCTATGAAATGGCGTCCGTCGTGCGAGATCTGGAATTGACTCACGCTTCTCTCCAAGAATGCGGATATGTCCATCTACAATGGATATTGTCCGGGTCACCAGCCGAATACTACTCCGTCTAGTGCCGTTTGGTGGGGTTATGTGTATGCAGACAATTGGGAGCATAGCATCCACCGTGGGTCAGCAATCTGCATGCAAACATCGAAATGGTTCAAGCGACCTCGTAGGACTACATGTCAGATGACTAGCAACAATGACCAACAGCCAGCTCATTCAACATCCGCGTCTCCGTTCGTGACTTAGTTTTAGAGAACGTGAGCTTTTCCGAGATTAAACATCGTGTAAATAAGCTCCTGTCCAAGGAGATGTTGCTCAGACGTGGCTGATGATCTACGCGGCCAAGTGCTTGGAAGAGCTTTGAAACAACCAAGATAACGAGCATTTTCCGTTCAGAAAACGAGGTTTTCCGTGCTGTTTTCCGCTATTGCCTTGGCATACCGGCCCAAGGCCAATGTGGTGTGACGGGGAAAAGGCGTAGAAACGCCATCACTGCCAAGCTTTCTCATAGTTGGGGCGGCAGGTACCGACAGGGGACATCATGGTGCTGCGCCGCTTTGGGTCTGGAGCCAACCTGTCATGATAGTTTCAACTTGTCACCTAGGAGAAGAAGTAGTGGCACTGAGAGGCATTTGCGTGTCTCATTGTCGAGGGCGAAACCCGTGTAAGGGTTCCCAGCTGTAGTCGAACAATGTATTACATGATCTGGAATGCAAATCGTTGATGGAGCAACGCGCTGTCTCTCAACAAAACTCAGGCGAGAGCAATGGCAGCCTTCACGAGATGACCTCGCAGATGCCTTGCACCATCTGTAGATGCCAACCCCGACCGCCGAGCCGTGAAAGGGATTCTAGCATCTGCACCTCAGGCGTTTGCTCTAGTTCGGGATGTGAACGCCCTTTTAAAAGAGGTCTTGGCTGGCTCCTCTTCCCCGCACTCCGTACTCGCGGAAAAGCTGCCGTACCCCATCTACCCCATGGGGATGCTCCTCGACTCCACCAATCAAGCTGGCCTAACGCCGTTCATCTGGACCCGACGCGATGGCTGCGAACGGTGGATATACATGGGCCTGGTCGGGATGGGGTTCGTAAACATGGGGATATATATCCAAGCTGCCTCCAGCTGGTTTCTGATCCTACCTCGTCCTTCAACCTGCGAATCTCTTAGGCATCTGTTGTCGACAGCAGTTACACCGGCACCATTAGCTCGAGACTGGAAGTTTGTCCAGGCTTGTTGGACTTTTTTACAGGCACCGCTTGTCTTGCCCTCTTTGACCGGACTTTCCCCAACGCCAAGCGTCGAGATGGCGACCAACGTCCACACCGGCAGGCCCGATTCGCCTCAGGACAAGGTCGGAGTCAACCAGATGGAACATGTCCTTACAACCGATGATCCAGCGCTCATGAAGCAGCCCGCCATTGAGAAGGTGGATGAATTTGGCGCCCACACTAAGACCGACCCCAGAGAGATTGCGCTGGTGAAGAAGATTGACTGGTACATCCTCGTATGTTGCTCTGAAGGCCACGGGTTTTTATCTCTGAGTAGCAACTGACTTGCCCTCGCACAGCCCATCCTCTGGGTGATGTACTTTCTCAACTTCTTGGACCGAAACGCCATGATCAACGGCAAGCTCAACGGACTCGCCGACCACCTGGGTCTGGTTGGTCAGCAGTACAACACTTGCGTATCAATTTTGTTTGTCGGGTAGGTGCTTTATGTACATTGAAATTACGTGTCGGACTGTCTAACTCTCAGCAGCTACCTTTGCGGTCAGGTCCCGTCCAACATGATCCTTAACAGAGTCCGACCATCGTGGTATATGGCTGGTTTCATGATGGCATGGTCCATCGTCAGTCTGCTGACATACAAATGCCACAACTTCGCCACCATGGTTGTTTGCCGCTTCCTTCTCGGAATTACCGAGGCCCCTGTAGGTGATGAATTCGTGCTGTAATCACAACGACTCGATAGACTAACGATGTGAGATAGTTCTACCCAGGGGCCTTGTACATGCTCTCCATGTTCTACACGCGCAAGGAGGTTTCAAGCCGCATGGCCATCTTTTACACCGGAAACATGGCTGCATCCGCATTTTCGGGTCTGATTGCTGCCCCTATCTTCTCTGAGATGGAAGGCATGAGGGGCCTCCACGGCTGGCAATGGTGAGTCTGAGAATATGTCTCGTGGTATTTGTGATGAGAATCCTCGGGCTAACAGATCTTCTCGCAGGCTCTTCATCATCCAAGGCGCTATTTCGATTCTCGTCGCCTTCTTCGCTTTCTTCTTGTTGCCCGACAGCCCCCTCAAGACCCGTTGGCTTACCGAGGAGGAACGCCAACTTGCCCACACCAGAATCTACAACGACACGACGGACCGTCGCGAAGGCACCTCCGTCTGGAAGGGTCTCAGCGAGGCTTGCATGGACTGGCGCACTTGGGTCTTCTGCCTTATGGACAACCTCCACTTATCCGCGAACGGCTTCAAGAACTTCCTCCCCACCGTCGTTAAGACCCTTAAGTTCAACACCACCGTCACCCTCGTTCTCACCTGCCCTCCCTACGTCTTCTCGGCCTTCTTTTCCGTCCTAGTACCTTGGTCGTCCGGAAAATACAACGAGCGCACCTGGCATATCACGATCAGCAAGCTTATTGTCTGTATTGGCTTCATTATGTCCGTCGCGTCTCTTAATATGGCTGTGCGCTATACTGGTATTATGCTTTTCGTTGGCGCGACGTATGGTGTTAATAACCTGATTCTTGGCTGGACCTCCTCCGTTCTCGGACAGACTGATGAGAAGAAAGCCGTTGCGATTGCCATGGCGAACACGTTGGGTAATGCAGCTAGCATCTACACGCCGTACCTCTGGCCCGATTCTGACTCCCCTCGATTCCTAACAGCCATGTGCGCTAGCATTGGCTTTTCCATCGGTGTTGTCATCTGCGCCTGGTTTATGAGGTGGGCTTTGATCCGCACGAACAACAAGAAGAGACGGGAGGACCCCAATGCCACCAACTTCTATGTCTACTAAGAAGAGATTGGATGGACAGGAGATGACCTAGCGTTCTATGGGTGGTAGTCGAAGTCAGAAGGAATATCATGGAATAGTGTGCGCTGTAGGCAGCTAATGTCCAGAAGGGGTAATACAACGGAAATGATTCCACAGAACAAGGGGTCAATCCTGATTCGTCATACGATTTGCGCCACTGGAAGTGAATCTGCTGGTTGTGAGATTACATAGCCTATATTTTTGGACGGCAGTCTTCCAAAACATCAATTTTTGGTTACTGTGTACAGTCCGAGGATGAATCTTTTTCCCGTCGTATTTGTCCGACTCTTGAAGGAATAGCTTTCATTAAGTCGCCAAGCTTAGGATTCGATTTTAAGCTTACGTCTCCTGCCGCAGTCGGCTTGCCTTTGGGCTTGAAATGATTGATGAGGCAACATATGAGCATGCCCGGAGCTCCCTAGACTGTAATTGTGCAAGGCGCTGTAAGCACTATCGGCGGCGGGATTGTCAGCTTCATGTACGCGAGAGCGGGATGGGGTTCTTGTCTCCAGCCTGAAGTAAGCACAGTAATATGGGCTGAAGGCTGCGTAGACTGCACGTGCTGACTTGTAGACATGTGGTTCTACAAGACAGCAGCTCACACCTCCCACGGTTGACAGTGGCAGGATTCAACCTGCAGCTACGTGGCTTAGACAATGGAATCATTCATCGGTTTTCTCCTCACTGGTTCTGCGGGTGCCTGGTCAAAAGTTCTTCCTCACTGCAGCTGGAAATGTACAGATTCGTTATGCTGTTCAAGGTTAAGCCTGATGCTTTATTGAAAGTTTCGTTCCAAATGTCATCCCATTTTCTAGAAACAAGCTCTGGCCGTCTGAAGTTCATCCATGTGGCGAGCACGCTCGGACTCTCGAAGGCCACAGATACATGGTAATCAGGCCGGTAGAAACATGATCTAATGGGCGTGTACGATGAATCCCTTGTCAGCCTCCGGGCAATTCGGACGCAGCTAGCATTTCAAAGCCTACCTCATGCCACGTGGAGGAAGTTTGAAATCAAAAACACCAACCTAGGAAATAAGTTTCCCCAGATTGACTGGCCTTACAACCAGAGCTGCCTGCTGACGGATCAGCCAGTTTGCTGCGGCCAACCAACCCAGTCTTCAGCCCTCCAAGTCGTTT